TCAGAGCGTTTTATAAGTATTTTATTTCTATTGATTAGCTTTGGGATTTGGGAAATGAATGGTTCCCAATTGACATTTTTTAAAGGAATAAATTGACTGCACTCTACCTCGGTATTCTGAATTGAACTTTAAACCTATAACAATTCAAAATTATAAATACCTTCACTTATAACACTCATACCCGCCAACAAGGTTTTAAAAATTGATCCGGAAACGGAACCGTTTTAGCTATCGGTTTCCAGGTCAGCTGTTCGACCGTTCGGGTCAAATGGTTTGGACGGTTCATTTTAGGAAAGGCCAAATAGTATATGAGTCATGAGAAACAAAGAAAGGAGGACTGGAGGAGTGGAGAATAGTATTTTGTCGGCTAAGAAAGAAGAGAAGAATGAAAGAAAAAGGAAAAAGGAAAAAAAAAAGGAAAAGAAGAAAAATAAAAGGAAGGAAAGAAAGAGGGAAGGAGGGAAGAAGAAGAAGGAAGAGGAGGAGAATGATTCGACACTCACCGGCGACAACGACAACGAGATGGCGATGGTGACGGCGATAACACAGCACAGATGGTAGATCTCATACGAGTTCTCAAATCTTAGACCTGAGATTGATTTTTCATTTTTTCTCAGATCTCGATCTGAGATCTTCTCTTCTTCTTCTTCTTCTTCTTCTTCTTCTTCTTCTTCCTAGATATCAGATCTGAGTTCATGTCTCAGATCTGCAATTTCTCAAACCGCGAACCGTTATCCGGGTCAAACGAATCGACAATTCGACCACTCGGATCAGCGGTTTTCTGACCAAATCAACAGTTTTTTATCCAAGAGTGGGTCAAGGTGAAACAGAACCGGTTGCTTGAACGGTTTCCAGACTGAACGGTCCGACCGTCTGAATCAACAACGGTTCAAAAACATTGCCCACCAATGATTTGGCATCAATTCCAAACTGACACCTACACCAACTATGGAGTAAACTTAAGATTTTTGAGAGTGGACTCAATAGTAAAAACCCCCAAGTGGCACAATAACATTAGTGGCTGTTATTTAATTAGGATAAATTAACTACACTCCGTCTTAAAATTCTAAATTAAACTGCAGACCTATAACAATTCAACATTATAAACACCTCTATCTATAACACCCACACATGCTTGTAAATTGACATTAATTAGTGATCCTAAAACTTTAAAGTGATGTGATACATTAAAATTTGAAAAAGCAGACTTTTTTTAATGCAATTATCATTTTAAATATATTATAATATTAAACCAAATCATTTATAATTAACTTCAACTTCATCTCCCACTTCAAGTAAAGATAACCCTGGAATTGGGTACAAGTATAAGCATTCAGGGAGTCCAGATGTGCTTGGGGCTTTGGTAATCTTTTCTTTCCGCAAGGTTAGGTGGTCGTCCTGGCACAATAACATTAGCGGCTGTTATTTAATTTGGATGGATTACCCCAAAAGAAAAGAATTTGTAATGAAAGAATGAATGGACCATATAAATCCTCCCGTGTTTCAATAATGCAGAGAAAGGCGTGTCCCAATGGTCAATAGAATAGAATACTACCAAAGCCAATCCATCATTGTTGAACTGATCAAACAATATTATTTATATACAATACAATTCTTCATCAAGCAACGTAATCCAACCCAAGAATCAAGGACGTTTTATTTCGACATCATTGTATTAATCTTCTTTCTTACTCGGTTCCTCTTCATTCGTTCTATTGTTTTTGGGTTTATTTGACTTATCTTTTTGGAAAGATTTTTTGGTAGTTCTTTTATTTTGACATCGTTATACTAATTTTTTTTTTTTTTCGACTCTTCTTAATTTATTTATAATTTTTAGGCCTTTTTGATGTGCTTTTTTAGAAGATCTTTTAGTAGTTCTAACAGTTAAAAAATTAAGTTTTTGCATAAAGATCTAAGCAGCTTAAAGTATGTTTGGTAGATGCATATCTTTCTGTGTGTCTTTTCATGTTTTTCTGCATGAGAATAAAATACAAAAAACGTAAAACACTTCATTTGAAACTTCCCAAAATCAATCTAAAATAATCTTTTTTGGCACTCCGGCTTTTGACAATTAGATCATCCATGTATCAAATGAAAATAAACTGAAAATCAATCTTTCCAACTTATAAATAACCAAAAGACCATGTGAAAAGATGTGCCCTTCGTCAATTTTGGCTATTTGGAAGTTTTATATAAATGATACGTTATTTCATACAAGGCAGTAAAAAGGTCACAAACAGAAACAGCCCCAAAGTTTTTTTTTTTAATCAAGTGGGGTGGGTGGGTAGAATGAAATGCCACCTGGAACGCACCATCCTGATCGATTTCTGATTCTTTTTGGAGGGTGTTACCTATAAACATGGGGGCACGTGGATCTGCCTAAACCCAAACGAGCAGGGCCTCAGGGAGTGTTGTGGTGTGGTAGCTACAATTGAGCTGGCAGATGATGATGGTTCATGGGTTTTGAGGCCGATCGGTTGAGCAGTCAACTACTGTGGCACCTACCCCCACCTTATTATGGTAGGTCACGACTTCAATGTCGGTATGTATACGAGAACGGGTATCAGACTATCAGTGAGAGTAAAATAATCGCGGCTTGCAACTTCCAACAATCTTCCACCTTTGCAGCCTTAGATGACTGCAATGGCTGTTTAATAGGTTGTCAGATGCAATGACAACACCCCACATCGGTCGTTGCAACCACCCAATTTCATTTAGCATTTTACCCAATGGCGTCGGGTGGTATCATTGGTTCTACATCCCGCTATGTTAGAGGTGCAATCAAGCCGAATCAAGTTGAATTTTAGCATATTTTGGTTAAACTTGATTAAAATATTATTAGGTTAGAGTTGACTCAACTATGTTTTTTTGGTTCGAACTTAATTCGGTTAAATATTCTATATAAGTTCAAGTTCGGTTCGAAAATTCAAAAATAAATAAATATATATATATATATATATGATATCTTTTTATAATATATTGTAATATAATATAAAATATATTTTTATATTCTATAATATATATGTATATGAGCTTTCGAGTCAAACTTTTTATTAGTGAAACTCGACTAACTAATCGAATTTATCTTAAGATTTAAATTTGATTAGAGTTCAATTAGAATCGAACTTAATTAAATTTGAACCCGAACTATTTGATTAGAGTTTAATACATGGGCTTAAGTCTCTGGGTTAAGAATAACTTTTAAAGCCCGCTGTACTAGATTTAACAGAGATTATTTCTTTCTTAGGAGGATGGTGCTTGGCAATTCAGCTTCATGATAAGTCTATTCCTCAGTTGATGGTGCCTTTGTCTCAAGTGCAAGAGCAGGTTATGGTGCTGTTTGTTTTGATCTTCAAGGTGGGCTTCAGTTATCTGAATGCTGTGTTCTCTCAGATTACTTGAATCTCATTTGTCTCATGCAAGGTAGGTATAGTTTTGTTTCCTTGGAAGTTCGATCAATTTTAGAGGGGAATGGGGCATTGATAGACCCATCCCGCCTGAGCTCTATTGCTATCTTTTGAACCTGTTCAACTAGAACTCTTTCAGTAATTTCCCTGCTGCAAAAAAGAAGCTTTGAGTTGCGAACCTGAGAAAATTGACCCTACTTTGATGTGTTCAGTTGAATGGCACGTGCAAGAGAGAGAGATGATATGCTCATATGCTGGAATCTGGATTTTATTCTCACATCACGTTCCTTGCACCAATCTCACATCACTTGCAGCCACATATCAGGACGTATATGTTGTCATTTATGGGAAGATGTTTGGAATGCATGGCTGCAAAGTGCTGTAAAATTGACGTGAAGAGCAAACTCAGATTTGATGTATTCAAGTTAATTTAGGGATGCAATTTGGACAGGTTGGATTGGATTTAAGGTCAACCAAAGCCCAACCCTAAAGTTGTAAACCTTGGGCTTGGGTCTGGCCCAACCCAAGGTTAAGTCCAGGTTTATCAACCCAGCCCAACCTGAACTTAACCCAACACAACTCAGGTTGCACCTGCGCTCAGACTGGGCTTGGGTGGGTTGGTTGGGTTTGAAAGAATTTACGTTTATATCTTAATGAAGCCATCTTTTAATGGGCTTTATGGTCTAACTTAAGAACATATTTGATTAAAAATATGTACAAATTTCATTTACAAATGTACATATTCATACTTTATAGTTTATAGATATACACATGTATATATAATTTAAAAAAAAATGATATTTTGATATAATATAATGCACATATGTGTATTTTTTGGAAGGCCCTGGGTTGGATTGGGCTACTTGAGGCCTCAACCCAACCCAGACCCAAGTTTAAAATGGGCTCAAATTTTCTGGCCCAGGCCCAGCCCCAACCACCAAAAACTTAGGCCCAATCCGTGTCAAAAACTCGGGTTGGACTGCCCAAGTAGCATGAACAAAATCACAGTTTTGTGCCACCTGTCATTCGTCAACATATGAGGATGGGTGGACCGTGGACGATGTCTTTATAAAATCTGTCGTGTCTCATTAATGATGACCGCTGACACAGAACTGTGTGAGGTTAGCAGTAGATCCGCATAAATCGGGTATATTCCTTTCTAGCTGACGTGGAAATTGTTTTTTATTTTCATACCCAGTGGACCACGAAATCACGAATCAACCAACCTACCATGTTCAGTCCAGTTCAGTTCAAACAAAAACAATCTACCATGTTCTCGTGTAAAATGAGTAATCTTTTAATGAATAAAACACAAATATAATTATATATCATCTGCCATTTTGCAAATAACAATATTGAATCTGGAACTTATGAATTTCTTTCGAATATCCTTATATAGGTTTTTTTGTCTTTCCCTTCCTTTCTTACTTTTTCCTTCAAACCTTAGAAATAAGAAAAAAGAAAAAAAAAAAGGCATCTGAGTCTGTAAATTCATTTTTCACGTAGAAATGCAATTGATTTCAAATTGCATTCAAATACAGAAATCTCAAAATAATTAAACAGATCATTGAAATCCAATTAATCCAACCTTAATTATGGTTTATTCTGATAGATCAAGTACCAACTGTACGTAGGCTTGATAGATAAAGCAAAAGCAAGTAATGCAATACATGGCCAATCAACCTAGTAGAGCTCTACGTACTATGCAATAATCTTCTAAATTTTATTCTCCGGCCAAGTGTTAAAAGGCCTTTATTCAATGACTAGTTGCAGAGTAGTAGTAGTAGCAGCGATCAGGCTTGGTTGGTACCTAGGTATTTGTCGCCCAAACCCTTGATTATCTCCTTCGCTCCCTCAATAAAATTCTTTACGACGTCGCCGGCAGGGAGGATCTCCTTGATGAGCCCAACGCCCTGTCCGGCGTACATGACCATGTTCTCCAGCTCACCTGCAGTGGTGGGATTCGCCACTTGTCCGGCAAACCGTCTAAGAACAGTTTCCTGCAGGAATAATTGAGCAATTGAAGATCGATATATCGAACTAATGTTAATTTACTTATATCATCAATTAAGACGTACAGTATATATATGACATGATGAATAATAAAATTATATAATTACCTCTCCATGGATGATGGAATAGCTTACGATGGGTTGTTCTTCATTGTTTTCGACAGACTCGGGTGCATTTTTCCATTGTTGATGGAAGGGAGTGTTGAGACACCTCACGGGGGACCTCCAGGTGGCACGATTGTACAGGTCGGTGCGGTCTGTGTCCGCCTCAGTGTAATGCAGCAACTGTTGCTTGTAGTAATGGTTTGCATATGATTCCTTGGTAGCCACAAACCTGGTATTTTAAATTTTAATTGATCCATCGATCCAGGAATAAGGATTAGTTGAAGTTGAAGTTGAAGTAGTACGTACGTAGCTTCAAATTGAATATAACTCAACAGTGGAATGAGAAAGATGATAAAAAATGCATGAATTAAATTAAAGTTGTCTTAATTATTAATTACCTGGTTCCCATGCAAATCCCATGAGCACCCAATGACAAGGCAGCAACGTAGCCGCGAGGGTCAGCGATTGAGCCAGCTGCCACCACTGCAATTTCTCTGTCCCCCACCAAATCTACTACTCTTGGGAGCAAAGCTATCAGCCCAACCTATTAATTCATAGCGTTTATTAATTATTTGGGGCCGGTTAGTTGTTTATAACTACGTACATGCTGGATCAATTAATATTAGACAGAGAAGCTAAGCTAAGAGAGAGAGCTAGCGAGAGAGGGAGCATTAATTACAGTGCCAATGATATGTCCTCCTGCTTCCACTCCCTGTACAATAATACAGTCGACCCCTGCTGCAATTGCTTTCTCTGCATCCTTCAATGATCCGATCTACAAGCAATATTTGACATACATATGCATTAATTAATTAGCTTAATTTTACCAATTGCTATATATATGTTCAGCATCAGATTGGGTTAATTAGTTAATAAAGGGTGCGCATTCTATATGTGAATATATAGAACATATATATGTATATACTTGATGCAATATCTTGACACCATGTTTGTGAGCTTCATCAACCATTTCCTTGGTGAAGTCACCCCAGTAGACTTGCATGCATGCAAGCTTCTCGTCAAAAATAGCTTGCACTGTTCGTGTGTTGTCGAATTCTAGCAGAATTCCCGCCCCAAAGGGCTTGTCTGTCAGCTTTCTCGTCTCCGTGATGGCTTTCACCGTCATGTCATAGCTGTTCTGTATACAACATGCAAAACCCCACAACTTAGCATAAGACCAAAGCTGATTATTTATTTTTATCATTTCATATCGATCATCTCTCTTCCCATATGTGTATATGGAAATTAAAACAATTATATATATATATATATATATGCATATATTAGGATGTCCAGATCCCAATTTATATATATGCTTTGTCTTTTAGTGGATCAAAGACGTTATATATGTTCCAACTTCCAAGAAGAAAAAAAAAATGGGAGAGAGATGGCAAAGTTGATAATGAAGAAGAATGACTTCATACTTACGACGGGGCTAACCAAGAGGCCGATGCCTCCAGCATTAGCCACAGCGGCGACCAGTTTGGGGCCGGCCACATCAGGACCCATTGGTGCCAACACAATTCCGTTGTCAAACCCAAGGATTCCACCAAAAGCCATATTTGTATTCTCTGCTACGGTTCTCTCTCCAGAATACCCCAAGTGCCCAATTAAAGATGATGACGAGAGTAGTAGCTAGTAGTTCTATTACGCTAGCTACTAATTGATTCAGATGGATGCAGATGAGTGAGGAGCTCTCACTGCCTCCCCCGCCTATTTGGAGCATTTGGAGCACACACCAGTGCACAGCTTGTGTCAGAGTGTATGGATGATAGAGATGGCCAAGCCATGCATTAACTCTCGGAATATTTAAAAAATGGATCATTTAATTTTCATCCATTGCCTTATCTCTCTCATTAAAACAACAAATTAAATAAAAAAAAGGGAACACGTAAGAATTGAAGAGAGAATATATATATATATATATATGTACAGAATTGGTGCACGTAACATGTAAGAAATTAAGAAAGAAAAGTCAATTAAAATAGCTCAACAAACAGTAAGGCTTTGGTGAGTACTCAAAGTAAATGTTGATGGTGATGATCCATGAAATTGTAGTTGCATTGCACCGCCCAGCGATTACTCCCCCCATGTCCCCACCCACTATATTAAACGATGTTAATAAATTTCCAACACCTGCCAACACCAACACCACATAAATATATATATATATATATATATCCTGAAATCCACATCGTCTGAATTGAATGATTTCAGTAGTGTAATACGAAGCCAAAATATGTATCACCTTAGGAGATGTAGAAAATATAACTTTTTTGGTCGTTTACTCAATCAAATTAACGTAATTATGAGCATATATAGTTCCAATATTAAAAACGAAAGTGGGATTAGGATATGATGTTCATTCTATATAATTATTAGTAATACTCATCAGCTGGAGAGTAGTTGACTTGATTAATTTGTTAAACAGATGGGGAATTAATTGCGTTCAAATTAATAAAAGTGAGCCTTAATTAACCAAATTTTGCATCCCACGAGCTTCATGCAACAGGCTTCTCCCACGAGAAGCTTTCCTGCATTAATGCCCCACGTTTTCGGTTTTTAACTTTTTATTTTTGAAAGCCATCTGATCACATCCAGTCATTCCTCCTACATATATGTCACCCACCCTCAACCCTCAACCCTCAACTCTCAAGTGAGATCAAATCAGCTCCCCACAAGATTGTTCCCAACAACATCTCTACCGTATATTGGAAACATCTTCCGATGATAATTCCAAAAATAATGATATCATCATCAAGAGATGCTCTCAATATATGGCGATGTACTATAGGACATTGTGGGGAGCAATCTCGTGGGGTGATGATTTGAACTCCTCTCAAGTCAAGGCCTCAATCCTCGTGGCTGGATGCAATTGGCCTGCACGGAGCGCTGCTCATGCATGCCAAGTGTAATATAAATTATTCCTTCAACAAAGCAATGGTGCCAATTAATCATGTTCATGGTTTTAAAGTTGAAACCTTCGTATTACTTATTTATCCATCTTATTATAATTATTTCCTACCACCAAAATTATTTGAGATATTAAAAAATAAATTATTTTTATAATTTTTACTCTTTTTTATGTATTTTATGGAAAAAACTTCATAATTATACTAATTACTATTAGGGGTGCTCACGGTTCGATTAACTGAATCATGGGGCATTTTTGGAATTGAATCGGTAGTACCGGTTTTTGGAAAACTAGTAACTAGAACCAAACCAAAACCAGTTGGTTAACCATTTGACCAGTTCAGTTAACCATCGATTTTTTGGTTTTTTAGTTTTTATAATATAATATTATAAAAATATATAATAAAATTATAAATATTTATATATATATAGTATTATATTTTAAATAATAAATAATACATAATATATTATAAATATATATTTATGTATAATGCATATTTATTAATTTATAATATATAATATACATAAATATATATAAAATATATGTATACCGGTCTATTTGGTTAACCGTTGGTTTTTTATATTGGTTAACTGAAACCGAATTAATACCTTCGGTTTTTTAAAAACACCAACTGACCGATTTGATTAATCGATTTTTGGTTCGGTTTCAGTCTATTCAGTTTTTCAATTTTTTTTCTCACCCCTAATTAGTATAAGTAAAATCATCATAAGAGGTTAAATATATCTATGCATGTCAAACGGCCAAACGTGCGTGTAATTAAATGAAAAACCAAATAAAATACACAAGAAAGTGTTTTAATGTCCTAACCCACTAGCTTGGATGAAGTATCTTGGATTTTAATCAAATTTTCTCTTTCATGAGTTTTTTTTATATTTTATTTATTTTTTATGGATAATCTCTTTCTTGAGGTTGCTTTCTAAATTAGAGTTCCTCCATAAATTCAGCCGGAATTTGTGGTTTAAAACGTTCCTATGAGGTCTATGTGTCAGTGCGCCCATATCAATTCATAATTTCATATCCATCAAAACACAATCGTTACCGTATGATATAAGCAGCATGGAAACCTCCGCCATGACACGTGTATATATATATAAGAATTAAATAATAGATCAGAATTTAATAAGTTTATATCCAAATTCAATTCAATTACATAAATCGTATGAATTGGATATCTGAATTTGATTGATTATGTTGAATTTTGAATTTAGAATAGAATTTTCGAATATGGTGAACACCCCTAGCCACCAAACGCTTTGAAAAAAAAACATACGTCTCAAGAAACTGCCAAACAACATATGTTGATGCCTTTTTTGCCATTTTTGAAAATATAATGTAATGCATGTTGTTAAACCAAACATCATCATAATATACAAGTTGGTACAGTAGGTTTGATGACTCTGGACCCGCATTATGCCTCTTAAAAGAGGAGGATATAGTGAGAGATCATACAAGTGTGCCTTTGGTTGTATAGTGAGGGATCATATAGGTAAGTTTTTAATGGCAAAAATAGGTGAAATCGATCAAGCTTCAATTACATTAGCAAAAATGTAGGTCACTCTTGAGGCCCATAAATTTGCGCAGCTATTTCAATAAGCCCCTGCTTAGGGGTGATCATTTCAGCCTGGCTTGGCCTGGCCTGGAAAATTCGGGCTTAGGCCTAGGTTTTTTGTTAAGGCCCAGTTCGGGCCTGGGCCAGCATATTAGGCCCGCAAAATTTAGGGCCAGGCTTGGACCTAATTTTTTAGGCTCGGCCCTACTTGGATATTTATAAATAATATTATATATATATATATATATATATATCTTTATGTATATATGTTATTTAAAAATATTTGATAATTGATGTTTGATATATATTAAATAGGATTTATAGGAGATTAAAGGTTTTAATCCTACGGTCTTAGATCTTACCAAATTCTAATCTAGTATTTAATGAAATATAGAAATTACTAAACCCTAATCTTCCCGACTCTTTTCCTCTCACCAATTTAACAAAACCACCGCCGCGCCCAATCTCTCTCTCTCACCAAAAGACAAATCTTCTAGTGATGAAGACTCCATTGATGAAGATAAATTTGAAGTTTAGAGTGATGGCAAGTTTTGGGTAAAATTGAAACCATTTTTAATATTTTATTACTTTTTTATTTACATTAATTTGAACTATTTTTTCTTAGTTTGCTAATATCTTTTTTATTTCACTTTTTATTTGTAGGAGTTGAATAGAAGATGGAGCCCCTTATAGAGATGTTTAAAGTTGTTTTGTGGATATTAAATGACAATAGATGGTTATTTTTTTATAGATATTATAGTTCTAGGTTGATTTTTTGTTGATAGAAGAATTGGTTTGTTAAAATTATCATTTTTAGCATACTAATAACCAATTGAAACTTATAAATTACAAGGTATAATTATTTAATTTCTTTTATGTTAGAATATTTTGTCTTGATATTAAGTTTAAAGCTTCTTACAAGTTACTATAGTCTCCATGACAACAAGTGAAAAAAAAAGTACAATTGTTTAATTTTGGAACTAAAATACAATAATTAGGCCGGAATCTTGGCCCGGGCCCATGTAGGGCCAGGCCCGAGCTTATATTTTTAGGCCCATAATGCGGATCAGGCTGGGCCCAGGCCTAGCCTAAGCTTGTTGTTATGAAGGCAAAGCCCGGCCCGGCCCATGATCACCCCTACCCCTAATTCAAAAGTGTATCGATAACAATGACAAAAATTGAGGACTGATAGTAAACATAGTGTTGTGACTTTGTTTTGGGGTAAAGAAAGCTTTGTATTGAAGAAGAAAGATACATTAGAATTGTCCAGGTCAGCTAGATCTTGTATCCACTTTGGACAATCTAGGACTAAAAATCCAAAACCTGAGATACCCATTCTAGCCAACTTGTGGGCTACCACATTCCCAGCCCTATTAGTAAAAGAAAAACTAACATTCTTGTCTTTTGATCAATTTACAATATCATACACTAGAAACTGAGGGAGAACTTTTCAATGGAGAAGGCATGAATCAAGTTACTACAATCACTTTCCAAAATGAAATGAGAATCATTCAAAAAAAATGAAGCAACTTTAGCCCCTGAAGAACAACCACAACTTCTGCTTGGATTTCAGATTGCACTCGTATACTTCCAAACATAGCAGCAACATCCCTACCAGAGGATTCCCTTGCATTGACTCCAAAACCTTCCTTATCAGCTTAAAAAAAAAAAAACTCCCATTTGTGTTGATCTTTATAGTTCCTTGACTAGGGGCTTTCCAAAAAAAGTCTTTCCATGTAGGATCAATTGAAGGAGGGTTGCATCCTTGATGGAAAGTCATGGCCCTCTCCTTTGTCATCCAATCAATAGAAAGCAACACCACACCAAGGCTTATAGTAGAGTTTTCAAAGATAATTTTTTTATGTTTCTAGATAACCTAAATAGTAAAAGCAAATAATGCTAACAACTCTTCCTTCATATAACCCTGGCTTTTACATAGATCAAACCACTAACCGAACCAATTAGAAAAAGAAGAAACAGAAGCACAAGTTTGATATTTAAGGCACATCCAAACCACACCCTCTTAGGATAATCAAAGAAAAATAAAGCATGGCAGAGGGATTCCTCTTCTTTGTTACAAATTGGGCACATTCTAGAATCTCCAATTACACTTTTAAAGAGGCTTGCATTCACAACTACTGCATTCCAACATGTCCAAGTAAAACTTTTTACCTTTGGGT